GAAAAACCTCTACATTCATTTGTATAAAGGGTAAATAACACTGGGGAGATAATACTTCCCTATGGGGTCCCTGTGTTGGTAAAAATAGAGGAAGAGAAAGCAGAGTTCACCCTAACACACTGTAATCTATCAGTCAAAAAAGACTCAACCCATCTAATGAGTCTGCTATTCACACCCAGCTTAAACAATCTTTCCATTAGAATATGGGGTCGTATAGTATTAAATGCAGATGAGAAATCTATAAACATAACACGGGCATATCGCTTTGGTTGATCAAGATGACAGTAGAGTCTTTGTAGCATATACAAGAGGGCATCTTCTGCACTCCTCCCTCTCCCATATGCAAATTGTAAAGGATCAAGTTTGTTTCACACCTCAGAAAGAACAAGATCTAAAACACTATTTTTTCAAAACTCTTCATGACAATAGATGTCAAGGCTACCGGACGATAATCATTTAAAACTGCTGGTTTAGATTTTTTTGGCGCAGGCACTATAAATGAACATTTCCAGGCAGTAGGTACATAGCAAGTATCCACAGACACTAAGCTCCTCCCTACACTCCTTAAGTACCCTACCAGTTATTCTATCAGGACCCGCTGCTTTCCTTGTATTAACCCTTTTAAAGATCCTACAAACTTCTTCTGATGTTATAATGATTTCCTGCCCTACATTCATTTGCTGTCTAATCAAATTCCGTTCAGTTTTAAAATCTAATGTTTCAAATCTACCAAAAAATTTATTTAATTCATTTGTTAAGGCCAAATCATCCTCATGATTACCCATAAATGATTTACTCTTCTCCTGTCCTATCATTGTATACACTCCCTGCCATGCCTGCCTTAAATTATTATCTCTCATCTTTCTCTAAATTTTTTGCTTGTAATTATGTTTACACCTACTAATTATTTGCCTAATTTCTTTTTTCTGAAAAGCTTGTTTTTTCTTCTTCAATGCTGCTTTTAATTCCCCATTTATCCATGGCTTGTCATTTGGATACCTTTTAATACATTTAGTTTTAATGACATTAGCCACACAAAAATTTATATAATCTGTCACCACATTATTTAGCTCATTTAAGTCCTCACTAGTATCTATAAAGACATGCCATGCTGTACAATCAAAACATCCTCTAAGACAGTCCACAGATTCCTCATTCCATATGTGGATGGTTCTCAGCTCAGGCTTGCTGGTCTTAAGCCGCTGTTTATACAGAGGAACCAGATGTATCACATTGTGGTCTGAATCACCCAAGGGTGGTTTTGAGTACCCCTTATACGCATTCTTAATATTTCCAAAACACAAATCAAGTACCCTTTCTTCCCTAGTGGGACAAGAAATGTACTGATAAAAATGAGGCAGTACATGCACTATAGAACAACCATTAAAATCCCCCAGTACAAATTTAGGAGCGTCTGGTGCAATGTTTTCCAACCGAGCAACAACATCATATATAAGGTTTGCCGCAGCCCGGAAGTTCGCCCATGGATAAATATAGATGACAGTTATAAACAGTTGTCCAAACTCCCTAAACTCTTAAAAATAAAGGTTCTTCAGGATGCCATAGAAGAACCTTTTTGTCTAAATGGTTCCATAAAGAACCTTTAACATCTGAAGAACTGGTTCTGTTTCACAGAAGGTTCTTTGGGGCGAAAGAAGGTTCTTCAGATTACAAAAAGGTAAGAAAGAAATGGTTCTTTAAAGAACCTTTGACTGAATGGTTCTTTGTGGAACCAAAAATGGTTCTTCTATGGCATCGCTTGAAGAACCTTTTGAAGCACCTTTATTTTTAAGAGTGTAGGGAGGTAAAAGGGTCTAAATGAAAAGGACAGAAGTTCAATATCTTCAGAACAGTAAGACTCCCGCACTGTGTAGTTCTTGCACCATCTCTCATTTACGTAGACGCACACACCTCCACCAACTTTCTTCCCAGTTACAATTGGATCACGATCAGTTCTCACAGGATCACTGAAACCCGCGACCCGAAGTAAAGAGTTGCCAATCGTGTCTTTAAGCCATGTTTCTGTAAAACACAGCAAACAACTGTCTCTATACTCAGTAAAATACCTCACAGCTGACTGAAGTTCCGGTAGTTGCTTGGAAAGAGACCATGTATTGGCAAATATCACTGTCGGTAGAGGCAGTTTGTTACCTCGGGCCCGGACCTTCAGCCTCACCCCGGCACGCCGACCTCTCCTTCGTCTCCTTACTGTTTTATCCCCCTTGTACACTCTCTTGGTAATTCCAGTGAAATTCGATCATCATGTTGTCTCAGCTGCCAGAGTTGTTCCCAACTATAGTGTAAAACACCAGTAACAGGGCCAATCTGCTCAGCTTTAGCGGCGTGCTCTCCAGTTGTTAGGATCTGTGTCGCGACTAGTAGCAGCAAATAAGCAATGAACATCAGCCCGTACAGAAGCACTACAAGACGCATCTTTGAGGGCCCCAATAGGTTTCAAATACCAAATAAACAAAACAAAATAAAACAAGACGAAACAAACAAACTCAGCTGATGTGCCACAGACACTCGTCGCCACCGTGCAGCGCCGGAAGTGTATAGTACATGTGGCCATTAATGTAATTTGCTGCGATCTGGATTACAATGTAAGAGTCATCAAAGTGATTGATTAGCAAGAAACAGAAAGGAGAGACAGAGAAAGGAGGAGAAGGAGAGGTCTGACTCTGCAGAAAAATATTGTTGCATCTACCTCCACCCTACATCTCCGTCAACAGCATTTGCAGTTGCTTACCACTGAATGTAATTGGTAATCGTTCTTTGGTTTGGTTTCATATTTACAGAAAGCACTTAAACAATGGAAATAAACATTAATACTTGCATTACACATGATAACATGAGAATTATATGGGAGAATAATATACTAATCTTGTCTCAAAATCATATGCAAGATGTATTACAATCCACGCCATGATGCTTTAAACCCTGTAATTTTCTTATGATACCGTCATGCAAGATTACCGAAAGCAAATTGCACTCACAGGGATTACGTTACCAGAATTTCATCTGCCTAGAACAGTAATTCAACTGATAAAAGGATGATTTAGAGAATGAAATACATATATTTATGTGCTTTTAAATGCTTCTAACAAAAATATGAACTTCACATTAGACCCTCAAAGTTCTTGGTTCTGTGTACTTCAATTTCAAGACTTTTACTGTAACTGTGACTTGTTTTTTAAACTGAGGAGTGAGTTGAAATTATTTTCTGTGGTAATCAACAACATAACCACAAATGCTGTCTAGATAGGCTCTAAAAGCAGCACTTGCCTACCTAAATTTAAGTCTAAAACAACATCAAAGCTAGACGCCATTTGTTTGGTTGTGAATAACATCATTTCTGACTGAAAACATAACTTGCTTAATCTTTTGTGGAAGATAAAAAGATTTTGGTTGCATTCCAAATGTTGTACAAAGAACTTACACTATATACTCTGCCATATACTAGAAATGTTAAAATTGGACACCTCCAGTTGACGGAAATGTTATACACACATTACTTGCACCATTTATACTACAGAATGTCGTAGAGTATAGTGTATGCTAAATAGAATATACATGTCTGTGACCAACCAGTGATGACTTTATTCACACCCAATCAAATGGCATGCAGCTTTTATGTGGTAGTGCTATGAATCCAAAAGTTAGTTCCCTTTACATTGTCTTTCCACCAATCATATTGAGTTAGACTTTATTTATGGTTAACCTATTTTACGGATGGATAGATGGCATTTTATTTTAGGTAATTTTATGTTTTATTGGACTTCGTCACTTAAAAACAGAATACAATGTACATGCACTGTAATTCACCCTTCACCGGGAGTTTGATTGACAGGCGATCTGACCAATCATAATGCTGAATCTGACATTTTTCTCTGACAAACAAGTCGGTGGACTTGAATTTGAAAAATGTGATAACATCTGATGCTTATTCATGTTTATTTCATGCTTTAACTAGTAAATATGAAAAGATGATCGGATCTGATGAAAGATGATCCGATCTGATGAAAAGATGTGTGGATTGAACTGAGGCGCTACAGCAATCTGTCACGACACATTAAAGAGCCACAAAATGTACAAAAATTTGATGTATTTTTTGCTGTGTGAGAACATGATGTGCAATAGTAATGAAGGGGGAAGGGTCAATTGTCTCAGTCAGAGATATTATTTTAAAAAGCTACATTTACATTTACGCATTTGGCAAATGCTTTTATCCAAAGCAATGTACACTGCATTCAAATTAAGTATATCAATTCCTACAATCCCTTGAAACTGAACCTATGACCTTGGTGTTTCTAAGGTCATGCTGTAATATATTTAAGTTACTTATTGCTGAAGTAGTGGTTTGGATCGCTCCTTAAAATCTGTTCTATTTAGTTTGAGGTTTTATTGCCAGTGTCTGGCCCGTCTTGCCATCCTGGGTGTGTCCCGCTTGCATTTGGACGAGATGCAGTTGGCAGGATAGAGACAGAACGACTCCTGTGATTCCACACTAATGCACGAGTCTGTTTGGATGGGTGGAATTTAAATGGATAGCTGAGAGAGAGAGGAAAATGTGTGTGTGTGTGTGTAATCATACTCCATTTTCATTAGCTAGAAAACCACCCCAGTAAAATTACATGAAGAATAGGCATTATGAGACGCGAAAGTGATTGTCTGTTTCGTGATGCTAGCAGCTCCTTGTTTACATGACCCATGTTGTTCAGTGTAAAGAGCTGGTGGTGGGGTCTTTCTCTCTCTCGCTCTCTCTCTCTCTCTCTCTCTCTCTCTCTCTCTCTCTCTCACACACACACTCACACACACTACTACAGGAGCTAATTACAGGCATTGTGTGCACCTGAAATAGAGCCGATGTGCTCCTCAAATAGCCTCACGTTCGGTTTGGTGGCATCGGATGAGATGGCGGAGGAGATTTTAGGTCATACTCTTGTCAGCAGACAGCAGACAGCAGACAGAAAACTTGAAATCGCATCATATGACCCCTTTAAGAGAATAGGGACAACCCTTTTAGACCAGGCGCCGGGCGCGCCGACCATTTTTCCCGCCCTTAAAATAGCAAAAGTGGATTGGGACACGCCCTAAGCGCAATTGCTTTAAACTTTAGACCATGCGCTTAGATCGTTAAAATAGGGCCCCTCTTTCTCTCTCTCGCTCTCTCTCTCTCTCTCTCTCTCTCTCTCTCTCTCTCTCACACACACACTCACACACACTACTACAAGAGCTAATTACAGGCATTGTGTGCACCTGAAATAGAGCCGATGTGCTCCTCAAATAGCCTCACGTTCGGTTTGGTGGCATCGGATGAGATGGCGGAGGAGATTTTAGGTCATACTCTTGTCAGCAGACAGCAGACAGCAGACAGAAAACTTGAAATCGCATCATATGACCCCTTTAAGAGAATAGGGACAACCCTTTTAGACCAGGCGCCGGGCGCGCCGACCATTTTTCCCGCCCTTAAAATAGCAAAAGTGGATTGGGACACGCCCTAAGCGCAATTGCTTTAAACTTTAGACCATGCGCTTAGATCGTTAAAATAGGGCCCCTTGTGTTAAATATTTGCTGAAATAAATACCGGAAAAGATCGATTCGTGGCTTTTGAGAATTCGATATCGGATCAACGTCATTTAAAAAAAAATATTCATCGAAAAATCAAATTTTTTTTTGCCCAGCCCTACTATATAGTATATATTGCTTTACAGCAGTATACTGTATGTATGTGTATAAAGTTAGTTATACTATATATCCAGCTTTACTAGAGCTGTGTGATAATGTAATTTACATCGGATCAGAAAAACAGTGGACAACTGAACGTGTCTAGTGCTGTAAAGTCCTCTGGTCTTCACCTGGCTGTTATAATGTAGATGTAGTTTCTCCTGTGCCGAGTTATGGTGATGACCCTCTTGATTTTACTCCAGCTCTAAAAGCAGGGTTTTGGCTCAAATCCTCCATCTGACAAGCGAGAGTGTATTAATTCAGTCTAAAAGAGGGATTGCAGCACTCCAGCGGAGTGGACTTGAGTTTGTTCCAGACTCACTTGTCATTCAGAGAGGGATGTCTTGTCTGTTCTGGGGAGCGTTTCCCAAAAGAATTATTAGCTAACTATGGTCATTAGTTGCATTGAACTTTATTGGTAATGACAGAACTTGCAACCATAGTTGCTTTTGGGAAATACACCCTTCTCTTCTGCTGTTTTTCCTCTTCTCTTCTTGTGTCTTTTATTTCTCAGATAGCCTCTGCTTGATGTTTTTTCCCCCAATTTTTCTCTACTTGTCTCATCTCCCGTTGCCTCACTTCTTCTTCTTTTCTTGTCTCTTCTCAGTTCATCTCAACTCAACTATTGTTTGCTTATTTCTTCTTCCTCACAATTCATTTTCTCATCTTGTCTCATTTTCTCTTCTTTTCTCATCTTCTCTCATCTCAGTTCTACCTCTTCTCTTCTCTTCTCTTCTCTTCTCTTCTCTTCTCTTCTCTTCTCTTCTCTTCTCTTCTCTTCTCTTCTCTTCTCTTCTCATTTTAACATTACTTCATCTCACACCATGTTAGGTTAGGTACACTTTATTGTCCCTGAGGGAAATTTGTCTTAGGCTCAGAAATACAACCACCACATCACATACAACGCATAGTAGTAAAGGAAAAAAAAAAAAAAAAAGATAATTAATTATTGTATGCATATATTTACATACATACACATATATATACACATACACACATATATATAAATACACATATACATACATACACATATACATATACATATATATATATATACATATATGCATACACATACATACATATGCACATCCATCCATACATACATACATACACAACACAGTAAAACATACCATTTAAACAATACAATAAATAAACAATCAATAAATAAATAACCTTACCTAGTGTTATTTAATAACTTAATTGCGGAAGGAATAAATGAATTCTTGTACCGATTCAATCTACATCTTGGAATTCTAAATCTCCTACCTGATGGCAGCATCACAAACGCACAGTTCAAAATGTGTGTTATATCATGCAGAAGCATCTGCCTCCCTCAGCATAGACTTTTCATAAAGAGTCTGGAGATAGAAAGGTTCTATTCTGCCCAAGATTTTCATAGCTGTTTGAATAAGGCGTCCAAGCCTTGATTTCAGCTGTACCGTCAGATTACCATACCAAAGGTGTATCAGCTTGCAATGATTAAAATCACCTAAAATAAATACAGGAGCGTCTGGTGAGCCTTGTAGTTGTTGATGAACACAATCCGCGATATACTCTGCTGCTCTCGCCGCATTTCCACTAGGAGGTACATAGGCCGCACAAACAACAATGCTTCCGAATTCCCTCAGTAGATAAAAGGGTCTCATTTTTAAGCATAAGACTTCAACATCGGGGCAGCAGAATGTGTCCTTGATTGTGTACTGTTTAAACCAGTTGTTACTCACGTACACAGCTATACCACCGCCTCTGTATTTCCCCGATTGCACACTTCTATCCGCCCGCACAAGCGTAAATCCTTCCAACTCCATGGCCGTGTCGGGGATATCCTGATGAAGCCATGTTTCCGTAAACACCATCAAACTTGAAGTGCGGTACTCAAAACATGCTTTGGAGATCGCACAAAGTTCTCCCATCTTTCCATGCAGAGATCTAGCATTACACAGAATCATCGACGGTATGCGATGTTGTCTCATCTCACCTCTCTTCCTTGTCTTTTCGACAAATTTTATTCTCTCTTGTCTGTTTTCTTCTTGACTTGTCTCTTCTTTTCTCTTCTCTTTCCCTGTTTTCTTCTCTTTGCTTTTTATTTCTTCTCATCATGCTTTATCTCAGTTGGTCTAAGCTTTACTTTTTTTGCTAATTTCTTTTATACCACTCCTCTCAATTTCTCATGGTCTCATCCTTTCTCTCGTCTCTCATGTTCATATTGTCTCCTCTCACCTTATTTTTTGTCTCTTTTATCCTTGTCTTATCCCACCTCTCATTTTCTCTTCCCGTTCTTCTCTCAGGACTGTCTCCGGACTCTCAGAGAATTAGAAGTTTTTGAAGCAGGATTAATATGTGAAAATGTACATGACATAATGACGGAGAGAAGAACCCCTGGAATGATTCTTCCGTCAAGGTCATGTAGAGGAGAGTGGGCGAATGTGGGTCTGAGCGAGAGCAGACAGTCACGTTGAGCAGCTTTGTAAACTCAGAGGTGAGAGCAGGTTTACTGATGATGAGAGAAGCACAGGGAGTAACTGAGACATGAAAGGCTTTCGTCATATAGCTACTCAACCCTCTATATTGTGCGAGAGTGTCTTACATACCATGCAGAATTGATGCGCTATATGTAAACAATATTCTTTGTTGTTTTTCCCTGTCAAAATACTTCAGCGTTTAAGAACTGCCGGGTTTTCCGGTAGTGGGCGGAACTAATGGCCAAACGACAATCTCATTGGCTGGCGCTCAGATATTATCATCCCTGTTTTGATTTTAGCAAATCAGTTAGAGCGAATGCACACAACCTGATTAATATTCATGAATCCAGCAGCTCGTTAATCCTTACTGCGTTTTATATTGTTCTTATTAGTAGAATTCGTAGTATTGTTATCTTACCAGTATTATTGTTAGTTTTTCCCCCCATTTTTTTACAGAAAAACAGAATGACCAAAAAAGCACCACCACCAGTCCGAAGTTCAGTTAAAATGACTAATATGCATTCATACATGGTTACCAAGTTTTAATTCAAATTACTAAAGTTCTATCATTAAATGATACTTGATTATCATAATATCATATTATAATGCTTGACTGACTGATGTTAAGAGTGTACTTGTATATGTATGTATATGTTAGTAAAATAAAATATATAATATACATATCCATATGTAGTACATCAGTCTGGCGAGTAAACTAAAAAATTTACTAGCCAATGGCGATTCAATTGACAATGTGTCCGTAGAGGGTTGCTAAATGATGCTGCATACGTGCCTGTGTGTGTGAAGGCACACGGCGTGTATTCTACATGCAATGTGTTATGCAACCATCCCTTGGTTCAATACGAGCAGCATAAGAGACTCTCTGCTCTCTTTCTCTTGCTTCTCTTTTCCTTATACATCTTTGCTCGCTCCCTTCTCATTCTTTCTGCTAATCTGATCTCATCTTTTATCATATCAGGGCTGCATGGTTTGGGGAAAAAATTGCAAATTGTGATTGTGAAATGCATTTTTTTTGCATTGATTGTTTGTAGGGTTGCAAAATGTGGCTAAAAAAACTTTGTTATTATAAATCAATGTGACTATGTAATTATAATTAGGGATGCACGATATTGGATTTTTGCCGATATCCAATATGCCGATATTTTTCAAATGATTTTGGCCGATACCGATATATTTCCTTTTGTTTGGAAACAACACCAAGTCTCTCCTGTGCAGAAATTATAAGCAAAATATTTTTAATTTTGGTTAGTTTTTAAAAATAATTTATTTGTTAGAATTAAATAAACAATAATGAAGGTTTTTTGACAGTACATTGAAGCTTTGAAAATAACTCCCCCCAGGGAGATGCAGTGTTAACCATAACATTTTATTTTAAGAATTAACATTTGTAGATGGTCTAAAGCAAAAGAGTTGTAAAAATTCTGAAAATGGGGGACCTGGGGGAGGCTGCCGCTGCTGCAACTGCACGTGCTGCTATTACTGTTTACTCTATCACACACCGAACGCGTCATTCTGTACGTGCTTTCACAGATAAAATGCAGAGATCCAAAACAGTGAATCTAATCACCATTCAGGCAAAACGTTGCTTCAAGAATGAGCCACACTGCTGACCTAATCTAATTGCTAGCACACCCTGAGCACATGTGAGTTAACGTATTCTTCTTATTGGCAAGACATATCGGCATAATTTTTCATATTGGGCCGATGCCGATATTTATATTTAAAGCCATTATCGGCCGATTCCGATATCAGTCCGATAATATCGTGCATCCCTAATTATAATAATAAAAAGAGTAACAACAACAATATAATAATAATAATAATTATTATTATTATAATTATAATAATAAAAATAAAAATCTAGCATTAAAGAAAAATATAATAATAATAATTTATAATGTCATAATTTTTTCATGTTCAAATGTTAAACCATCAAGCATTTAAAGGAATTTGAATACAAATAAATAAATAAATAAAGTAATAATGTGCTGCAGAATTTAGCAAAAATTATTATTATAAATCAATATGACCTATAAAATAAAAACAACAACTAATAATAATAATAATACTAATGATGTAGGGCTGCACAGTTTAGCCATAAATGTTATTACATATCAATTTGTAGTAATAATAATAATTATTATTATTATTAAATCTGGTATTAAAGAAAAAATATAATAATTTTATTGTACATTACAGCTTTAAAATTAGACTAATATTTATGACTACTTATTATGCTTTTATTTTTGGTGGCAAATCACAGGGAGAATTTAAACTTGTCTTTTGTTGACAGCAGCTAGTTTATAAGTGCTTCTTATTACAAGTTTGGGATAATGGTTGTTCATGTTGCGTTCCCAAATGCATGTTGTCAGTCACCCAAACTTAGAGCAGATGCAGAGATGAGTTTGTGTGGAACAGCATTTATCGTGAACTGATTCGCTCTGAGACTCTGAAAACACTGGATCATGAGCTGCTCATGTGTAAATGAACACAATGCCACGATTCACTCTGAAACATACAGCGCATACATTTATTCATTAAAGTTGCAGCCTTTGCTATTTGATAATGGCACTAAGCCATATAGTGATTTTGCTTTTATTTGGATTAATCGTGCAGCTGTATCTCATCTCATGATCCTGTTTCCTTTTCCTCTCCACTCTTCACCTGTCTCATCCTCTTATTTTCTTTCTTTTTCATCTTATTTTCTTCTCCTTTTATTCTCTCCTCTCCAACTGTTTTGAAGAACTCCAGCTATCGAAGAAAACAGACTGTGGAAATATGGGAAGAGTCTAAAAAGAGACCACATAATCACTAAGGATACAAAACCATGTAGTGTTAAGAAAACAAATAAACCAGCACAGCGGCAACAACTAGATAATGACTGAGGTATACTGTGACATCACAAACCCACCACTCTCTGCTGCACGTGTGTGTGTGTGTGTGTGTGTGTGTGTGTGTGAAGGCCTGTCATGTTTTGGGCTGTGCTTTTGAGGAGCTGTGAAAGGAAAAATAGGGAAAAATCTTTTAATCACTTTCCTCTCCGGAGAACAGAGAGCCTCTCCAGAGGGCTGGAGACAGAACGAGAGAGAGCGTGTGTGTGACTCACTATTCATGTTTGATATTTTTGTGCTAAGTGGAAAGAGACTGTGTGTGTGTATTTAACTAAGGGAGAGAAAAGAAGCTGAATGTATGTGAGGTTGTGCCTTTACTTTAAGTTGATGGAGGCGTGTGTTTGTGTTTATTTGTAGGACGTCATATATGTTATGCACTGGCTTTCTATATATATTGCGTGACGGTCTTCCAGCTGTAGAAGCGGTTGAACTGTATCTGCTGAAGTCTGAGTGTAGCTGAAGGCTAATGAACTGATAAACAAACACCATCAACAAAATAATACAAACAACAATACTGTACACAGCAACACACGAAAGCAGCGTATAGAAATATACATGCAATAGATATT